TACGTACGTGGGGCAGTTCTACTCTGTCCTGTGGGGTCTCTGTGAGTTGGCTGCTATGTATATGCTACGTACGTGGGGCAGTTCTACTCTGTCCTATGGGGTCGCTGTGAGTTGGCTGCTATGTATATGCTACGTACGTGGGGCAGTTCTTCTCTGTCCTTTAGGGTCGCTATGAGTTGGCTGCTATGTATATACTGTGTACATGGGGCACTTCTACTCTGTCGTATAGGGTCTCTATGAGTTGGCCGCTATTTATATACTACGTATATGGGGTAGTTCTACTCTGTCCTATAGGGTCGCTATGAGTTGGTTTCTATTTATATACTATGTCTGTGGGGCAGTTCTACTCTCTTCTATAGGGTCGCTATAAGTTGGAATCGACTCGATGGCAATGGGTTTTTTTTTATATATATATTCTTTTGGAGTCTCTGGGTTTGAGTTTCGTTTTTGCATATTTGAGAGAGGAGCCCTGGTGGCTCAATGGGTAAGTGCTCAGCTGCTAACTGAAAGGTTGGTGGTTTGAACGCACCTTTCTCTGTGTGGGAGAAGAGACCTGGCAGTCTGCTCCCGTAAAAATCACAGCCTGGGAAGCCCTACGGGGCGGGTCTACTCTGTCCTATAGGGCTGTGAGTCGGCATTGACTCAGCGGCACACAGCACCACCGTATTTGAGAGCTGCTTAGAAGCTCTTGGTACACAAGCATGGCTTAATGTTCATTTGGTGATTGGGCTCTTCATTCGAATGGCATCCAGAAGTCGGTATTTTATAGGCCTTTTTCTCTAGTGCACTGGGCTTCTCCCAAGAATGGCAGAGGTGGGAGGAGCAGTAATCTTTTGGCTGCAGGTACACACATGTGTGTGCGAGCTTGTGTGCTAAGGGGTAGCTGATGATATGCTTATGTATGGCTGACTGATCCTCTCATTTCAGCCCCAGCTCCTACTCTGCCTCCATAACTCCTTGTCTTTTCAAGTCCTTAGCCTTTCTGGGGTTCTGTTGGCACATTAGCTTACTTCCATTGGGTCTCCTCCTCCTCCACAGCACCCAGGTAGTGGCTCTTTCCCTAACTCCACTACTGCTCTTCCATCTCTTCCATTTTATAAAAATATGATGAATTCTCTTATGTGTTTTTCTCTCTCCTCTTTTTCTTAAGCCTTGTGTGTTTACACCTTTTTTTCTTTACTGTGGTTTTAATGTGGTTAGGGGAGGAAGGAAGGAGCCCTGGTGGTGCAGTGGTGAAGCCCTCAGCTGCTAACTGAAAGGTCACTGGTTCGAACCCACCAGTCTTTCCTCAGGAGAAAGATGTGGCAGTCTGCTTCCATAAACATTACAGCGTAGGAAACCTTTTGAGACAGTTCTACTCTGTCCTATAGGGTTACTATGAGCCAGAATTGACTCGGCAGTGGGTTTTTTTTTTTTTTTTTTTGTTAGGAGAGGAAAAGGTTGAAAGATACTCATGGGGTCAGTCTGCCATATCAGAAATGTTACTTTAAATCTATGCTACTGCTTCATTTATCATGCTTATTTGATTTTCCGGAAATGGTGTAAATGATTCCTTTTGATGTTTAAAACTACAGCTAAGAACTTTTGATTTTTAAAGCCTCTTTAGACAGCATATTATACTGAACATAAGCCTGGCATATAAATTAGGCTATAGGAGCTATAAGAATAATTCAGGAGTGATAAGCAGTAAACCGAAATAAATATATTTCTGTTACAATAGCCTTGAAGAGTCTTGTTCTTGTAAAGACGTTCGCTCTCAGTTTTCTCCCGAAGGCCTT